CGGCCACGCCGCCGAGCGAGGCTTGCAGGCTAGACCGCGAGCTCATCACTCAGCGGTCCTAAAGGTTAGGATGTGGTGGGAAAACCTCACCGCCTGGGACTGCTCATCTCCGTATCTGTCAATTGTTGTTAAGTGCCACCTTCCCCTCATAGCGATCCTAGGTACAACAGCCCTATACCTGGCTCTATCCTGTGCCAATCTCATTGTCTCTGACACACCTAACGAATTACCCCGGTCACTGAATCAATCTACTTCATCGAGGGTCTTCCTCTCTTGCATAGTCCCTCCATGCTCCCAAGCATGATGTCCCTCTCCAAGGACTGGTCCCTCCTTGCAACATGTCCAACGAATGTCAGATGACACCTCAGAATCCTTGCCTCCAAGAAGCAGCCTGGTCTCACCCTCTCTAGGAAAAACCTGTTTGTCCTCCTAGTGGTCCACGGTATGTATATTCAGTACTTTTCTCCAGTGCCACAGCTGTCAATATGTCTAGTGACCTATAAAGGTCTAATGACTTGTTGGACAACGAACAAGGATGACAGAAGAATCAATGGCTCTGTGCTGTGCACCAAGCACCGAGCAGCCCACGGACTGCCAAAAGAACAAGTTGTCTTGCAGAATGTCAACCAGGGTGCTCCTTGGAGGCAAGAATAGTGCAATGTCCTTTGGTCTCACATACTTTGGCATGTGGTCAGGAGGTGCCAATTCTTGGAAAAGGCCATCATGCCGAGGAAGACCCTCAACAGGACAGAATGGCAGTGACTACCACGGTGGGCTTGGGCGTGTAAGAGAGGGTGGGGCCACAGCAGAAAACAAGGTTCAGATCTGTCCTTCACAGGGTCACTGGACATCCATGTCGGCTGGACGGCATGCAGGAAGAAGGGAATTCATGTGAAAGTCTTTGTTCTAAATTTTACTTTTTCATGTATTTGAATGTAATAATCTCAAATAGCTTGTACTGATTCATTATTTTAAATCTTCAAAAATAATCATTTAGGGGAGCTCTGGTGGCCTAGTGGCAAGGAGCTGCAACTACAATCCCAGAGGCGCACGGTTGGAATCCACCAGATGCTCTGCCGGGGAAGGAGGGACAATCTCCTCCTGTACCAGTCAGATCTGATTTGACAGTACATTCACACAAAAATAATAAAATTTTTTTAAAAAAAATAACCATTTAAACTTTTCATCTTTAAAAAGCTTTCAAAATGTTAAGTATTTCCTAACATAACAACTAGACTCTGCATTTGCATTACATCTTCAGTAATGACAGCATTTAAAAATATTTAATTTTCACATTCTTGTTTCTCTTTTGTAACTTTCACCATCATACCTCCATCTATATGTATTAAAAAATTCTGTTAAATGAACTTAATATGCCATTTATGTTTAAATAAATGGTCAGTTCCTGTAGGGCACTTCTGTGCACAGTCTAGCACATAGCTTTGCCCACAATACTTACTCAATATCAACTTTTTATTGTTCAAATGAGTCCTTATGGTAACTAACATTTTTAACAGGAAATCAATGAACTTTCTGAAACAAAATTTAAGCTGGCTTATTTCTTAAAAATACATACTGGACCAAAAGAAAAATGATGTTCTGTTTCTCCAGTTAAAACAAAACACAATGAATTAAGAAAACTATTTATTTAACAATCAATCATATTATTTAAAACATTATTAACAAGGAGAAAAAGTACTAACTAGCTGCTCTGAGAGCATACTGTATTTTGGATCTTTTTAGATACAACCAGATTACTGTCAAATGACAACCAGATTACTGTCAAATGCAATCACTTTAATTACTAACACATTCTTTGAAAACACTGAATTTCACATGTAAGGGGTCCAGCCAAGGTACATTTGGCAAAGTAAGTTTTCATCAGTAGCTTCTTGTATCAGATAATGCACATGTCCTTCAATAGATAACGGCAGCCCTGTCACTCGATTCCGGGTCTTGATGACACCTTGTAATCGCTGCTCAATGTCAAGAACGTGAGTCTTGGCCTGAAATGAATAGAAAATGGTTAGGGCTAAGAACCCAGTAACATCTAGAGGTTGGCAATATGGAATTATTGTCTCTTTTGTTTTGTAAGAAATGTTAATGCATTTCCTGCTCAACTCTTTTTGTAAGAAAAAAAATATATAAAAAGAAAGAAGATACAAAGTAACAATAACTGTGAGACAGGCAATAGCAACTGTTTAGGCATTTTCCAGGATTATGTAAAATAACCAGGAAATTTGTTCTAGAGTGAAGGAATAAATTCTAAGAAGGAATTTTTTTAAAATTAATAACACAACCATAATCAATCACTACAACATAGCCATTCTGGGCAAACATAGACTTTTTCTCATTTCAAGTTTAAGGTAATAGTCTACTATCTGTTTTGCTCATTTAATATTATAAATTTCTTGAATATAATTTTTTACCACACTGACCAGAAAATGTGTGGGTTAGCATAGCACATAGGTAACACTTCTTTTAGCTGGCTGGCTATTTTTAATGGGCCTTGCTTCTTTCCATCACTAACAGGTTGTTTTATATCCTGAAGGTCAGTGGGAATGTAACAACACTCTCTTTCTGGACATACTCCCATCTTTAAAACTTCTTGCTGCAGGTGGGTATAACTCTGGAAATGTTATGAACTGCTCTTTATCAGGAAGTTGTAGAGTAAAAGCAGAATTGGAAAGAGATGATGATGCAATACAGTAACTAAAAAAGAAGTTCTCTCCAGGTTATATTTCAAAGAAACTTGTTTCTGTCTTGTACTGTTTATTTTTTGTGATTAAATAATAAAATGTAATACAGAACCAAAATGCATGGGATTTCAAGCAAAGTTTTCTCCTAATCTCCTTGGAAAACTGGCCAAACCATTTTAGAATATTCTCCTTGAAAGTTGCCAAAGCACTTTTGTAATCTCTCTTCATTTGCTTCACTCCATTTTTACTGTATACTGCACTTTTTATTAAAGGTTGAAATTATTTATATTTAGAAAATCCCCACAACTGGATAAATACATAGTTTTTACAAGTTTATGTGCAAAACTTGAAATAGTTTCTCTTGATTTAATCATATTCTCTGTGCACTGAGAGTGCTTCTGAATGGCTGCAAAGATCATTACATATACATAAAGCCTTACATAATCAAAGCTTTCTGTTGTATTTGCTTTTTGGCTAAAATAAAAACATAGCTTAAAATGTGACATGACCTGGAGGAAACACCTACTTCAGAAAGGTTTAAAGTTTGGTGTTGGACCTATTATGCAAGCTCCTAACATAATTTTTTTTTTATTTTATTCTTTCCTTTTTGTTGTCATTACATAAAATTAGTTCTGAACGTCGCAAAGTCCTGAGATGCAGCCAGATCTCGTCGAAGTAAAGAGTCTTCAATTTTTTATGAGCTTACTCACCAGCTGCCTCATCCCTGTAACGTCTGCTCACATCTTGAGAAAGCTTCTGTTATGAGGCTTACTATCAGCTACTTGTGTGTGAGGAAACTTCCAGATGCTGGAAAGTTGTTGTTTGTTTTTTAACAAGGACTTACTAGACCTTTAGTGAAAGGTTTTATCCAAGACGGCCTGGACATCCGACCCCTTTGCACCATTTCATTTCCTCTATTCCCTTGAGTTGATCTGCTGCAGCACCGAAAGGAAACACAGTCGCCTTAGAGGGGCTGTGAACAGACCCTCTGGAGGGGGTAAAAGAGCAAGGACCTTGAGGTACTGTACTACATGATCAACACAACCACCGTTTATTGTGCTTTTAATTGTAGATAAATGCCATTATTCATGGTTTCATGTTTTATTTGGTAGAACATCAGGCTCCCAGACGATCTGTGATAGTTAATTGAATAAACTTTCTTACAGGTTCATAGGTCTTATATGGAACTGAATTTCTAAAATCAGTTCGTTGATGTTCTCTGAGTGTAAAATAGTATGGTCAAAATTGCCTGCTTTGTTAAAGACAAGAAAATTTGCCAAAGCCATTATAAGAAAATGCAAGTTTCTTCTAGATTACTACTGATTTCATAATATGAATTGTGCCAAATCATTTTTAGATGATTACAACTTTGTTAAATAAACAAGCTTTTTAAACAGTAGATGCAGTTAATTAATTTAATTGTGATGATAATTTTTTTACTCATAAAAAATTTAAACCAAAATCCATTTTTGAAGTGTACAGAACTTAAACATTAAAACAGGTATTCTATTAATAGCAAAGATACTAGAATACCTAATATTTAGATAATGTTAGCTCATGCAAATGAGAGTTTTAAGTAAGCTACTTGTAATTCTATACATTTATCTCTTAATCAAGAAAACGTATCAGAATATAAAAGTGATAGCTGTTGTTGTTGTTATGTGCCGTCTAGTCGCTTGCGACTCATAGCAACCAACCCATGTACAATAGTCCTAAACTCTGCATTGTCCTGTGCCAATGGCACCGTCTCTGACACACCCATCCCAATTACCCCAGTCACTGAATCAATCCACCTCATAGAGGGCCTTCCCCTCCTGC